AGAATAAGGAATGATAAATCATAATGATTATTATAGTTATGTGAGTTTGTACGGCTGTTATAGGCTTGAATCATATCGCGTAGGTTTGATACAATTGTTGGACGTTATTATTGCGTTTTATATTTTTAGCGTTTTATATTTTTTGCGTTTCTCAACATTTTTTAGCGTTTCATATTTTATGAAGCGTTTAACAATTTTGAGAAATGTGAACAACATAAAACGATAAGGATATCAAGCGCAACGATAACGTTCAACGATTTTATCAAACGCTACGCGATTGATTCAACGCCTACAAAAGACGTACAAACTCACGCAACTCTAATAAACGATTTTATCAAACCTTATTCTGGATTAGAATCATATGCCTATTCGAGAACATTATGAGACCTTATTGCGCTAACCAAGATAAAACCGAAGTTCACAATTTGAAACGGGCATATTATTCATATACTTGCTGGGATCAACAAGCTCTCGAATGACATGCTGTGAAGAAGCTTCGAATTCTAATGTACGAAGAGGGGGAATGTATGAAATATGATCATATATTTAAATAAATTTAAATATGTTTGATATAATTTAACTATTTCAATTACCATAGTCGACTTTGGTTATTTTTAATTTACTTATTATTCACTAAACGTGATTGTAAACATTTGTGATATTATATATTTTTCAATTAACTTTTATATATATATACTGATATATTTTTAGTTCTTTTAGATATAGAATAATAATAAAATATTTTAAAAAATAATTAATTTGAATAGCTTACTTCATGGTGCCCCGGTTACGGTGGTACGTTTTTCGTTTTTCTTTTTTTAAAAAAAAAGTATATATCAAATTCGTCGTTCGATATTGGAGATGATAAAAGGACAAATAAAATTTTTTGACTTTTCTTTTCGATAGTCAAAATTTTATCCAAATTTACAAAATTATAAAAGGTAAAAAAAAATAAAATAAAATATATATATAATATGATAAAAAATAGTTTTTCATCAAAATCTTTCAATTTCTACGTTAGGATGTTTTGTTTCAAAGCTTTTAACATACCGCACTGCATAATTATTGATAAGATGTTGAGGGAAATGGGAGGATGCAGTAGATTCTCTTATGTCCGAAATAACAGGACGAATGAAATTCACTTTTACTTTAAAACCCTCCGAGAGATGATCAATACTTATATGTCTCTTAATGGAAAGCCTTACGTTTTTGATGAAAATAAATTCCTTTTTATATTTTGTGCAATTACGGAATATTAGAAATTAAATGTTAAATCTTAAATATCTTTGCAAACATTATACGCTTTATATATTTGACATACTACATTTATAGGGTATAGAAAATTTTCCCTATGTTACGTTATTAAATAAAAATTTACGCGATGCTTAACAGACAGTCTATAGAATATTAATAAAAAATTTTTAATTTTCCTTCATAACTTAAAGTAGTATGAAATTCTTTGTGACGAATCAAGTTTAGATATTTATAGATAATTCAAATTAAAACTTAGTGGACTAAATCCTCTTTACGAATTAGAATTAAATTTTTCACAGACAAATTATATTGAAACTTAGTGGACCACATTCTCTTGATTAAAATTAAAATTTTTTAGACAACTTAAATTTGATTTTAATGGACTACAATGTTTTGCTTTTACGATTTTAAAAATTGAAAGTTTACTTTATTTAAATAAAATTTTATCATGGACGAAAAATTAACTCTTACACACACTCAATATGTTCCTAAATTTCCCAAGTTATCAGGAAAATTATCTGAGACTTATCTTAACTTAATTGAAACATATTTTGAGGGACATATCGAGTCAGACTCATCTAAAGTTAGGACACTACTATGTAGCTTACCAATTGAGATTGTAGACCAAGTTACGTCGATATGTTCTAAAGCACAGTTAAAAGACTTTAATATTGTTTTTGGTAAATTGAAACTAATAATTCCAAGTGAGGACATGAATGTTAATATAAAAAACTTTAACTTAGCGGTACAGGGTGCCGATGAGTCCTTCCATACTTTTTATTTTAGGATTTCAAAACTTCATAAAAAATGCGATTTTGATAACGTTACGAGAATAATTGAGAAACTAATAACTTGTTCTTTAAATGATAATATCAGAAGGAAGTTAAATAAACATAAGCACGAAGGCTTAGATAAGATGATGAAATTAGGAGTTGAGTTAGATGGCAGCAATATTAAGCCGGAGATTAGCGATACAAATTATATAGATAAAAACGAAAATTTTATAAAAAATGATTCTAAAACTTTTAATAGTAAGGGGAATCTTAATAATTTTAGGCCAAGTGATATAAATAGCAGAAACTACCAAAACAGTAATTTCCGAAATAACGAGGGTCACTCTAGAAATTTTAGTAATAATCAATCTTCAAACAACTACAATTCAAACAATTTTGGTAGGAACAACGCTCGGCAAAATTTTAACTATAATTCAAACAATTTTGGTAGGAACAACGCTCGGCAAGATTTTAACTATAATTCAAACAATTACGGTAGGAACAACACTCGGCAAGATTACAATAACAATTCAAACAATTATGGTAGAGGTACTTGGCAAAACAACAACAATTCAAACTATTACGGAAGAAACTCCATGTGGCACAATAACAATAATGCAAACAATTATGATAGAAACAATGTTGGCAAAACAACAACAATTCAAACTATAACGGAAGAAACTTCAGGTGGCACGATAATAGCAATTCAAACAATTATGATAGAAATAATGCCTGGCATAACAATAATAGAGATGGTGGAAACAATACATGGAAAAACTATAATCTAAGAAAACAAATACAATATCATGATCAGAGCCAAAGTAATAGCAACAATTGCAATATGAATATTGAAGAGATTGTGGAAAATAAAAATGATGTTACACAAAATAATAATGATAGTGATTTTAATATCAACAATTTAACCGAGCATAAACTCAATGACAATGCATTTATGACTTCCTTAAAAATAAACAATGTTACCGTTACAATGCAAGTCGATACTGGATCTAAATTCACAATTATACCTCATTATATGGCTAAACAAATAGGTATTAAAGATCTTAAAAAGTCCACTCTACAACTCACAGCTTATGATGGAAACTTAATTATAATTATTGGCATCACTCAAGTTAAAGTAATCTACGAAGGTATCACCAAACACTTGCAAGCCGTGGTCGTTAAATCTAATAAAAATGCGTTATTGGGACGTATGTGGATTAATGCCTTTAGTAATATTTTGAACAAATTTATAGCGAACATTGATACCAACTATGAAGATGAAATAAAGAAATTAATAAAAGATTGCGAATCTAAACTGACTAAAAAACCGATCAACAAAGGGAATGTCAAGATATATCTACGTAATGACGCCAAACCGAAAATCATACCACCTAGACGGTTACCTTATTTAAAGATAGACGCTGTCACTAGAGAACTTACGAGATGGATAGGAGATGGAGTCATTGAGCCTGTAACAGATGTCCGATGGGCAAGTCCGATAACCGCTGTCTACAAGGATAATGGGAGCGTTAGGGTTTGCGCCGACTTCAAAGACAATGTCAACCCAGCCCTTGAGGACTTCAGATACCCACTTCCAAGAATAAACGATCTTATTGCTAAAAGATGTACGCTGGGCTAGTCCGTTAACGCCAGTCTTCAAGGATGATGGAAGTCTCAGGCTATGTGCTGACTTCAAAGACACAGTCAATCCTGAGTTATTTTAAATATCCCACCGCTGCCACCATTATATATTTGTGACAAAGGTACTATAATAAAAAAAGTTTATTTTCAAAATTCAAAGTAAAAATAAAAATGAAATAATATAAAAAAAGAATAGTATATATAGTTATAAGGTAATTGACATCATTTACATAGTAACATCAATTTAACATTGAAAATAATTTAAATTAAAATATCTTTTAAGGCTGCAATAACAATTTGAGTCAATCAATCAACACAATCAAAATCAATTTTCTCATGTTCTTTACTATAATCTTAGCTTTGATTATTCTAGGTTCAGATAGATTTATATTCATCATGGCTATTACATCTTTAAACCAGCTATAATTTTTGATACCTTCTCTTAAAGGTATAAGTATTTACCTCCTTGTGAAAGAAATATGTTTTTGATTTTGAGGTTATTTCTACTATATAATTCAAGTATTTTCTTGCTATCATCTCCACTAGGTTGTGTGAGGGCTGTGTTCCCAATTATGTTTCTGTAGGTAAATATCCTCCTTACCATCCTAGTATTAAGGTCACCCATCAGTATTATATTTTATTTTCTTGGTAGAGTTTATGTTTTGCAGATCATCTAAAAAAATGTGCTAATCCCTTCTATTTAAAGGCGTGTATATATTTACCAATATCATTGGTTTAAAATTTTTGTTAATGTATAATAGGCTGCATCTTTCAGAGATTTGTATAAATTTATCAATGTGGCTATATATTTTTTGTTAATCAAAAAGTTTATTCCAGATCAGTTGTTTGAAGTAGTACTATAGCTATAAAATGAAGTGAATGGAAGTTGCAGAGATATTTTCCTGTAAATCTATTCATTCCATTTATTCATCTGTCATAAGTTTTAGGAGAATAGCAAGCTTATCCCATAAACCATTAAGGGAAGAAATGAGTAATTGTCCTTAGAATTTGTTTATGGGTTATTTTGTTTATAGTGACATTGTATATGTATTTGGGGGGGGGGGGGGGGGGGGGTAGGGGGAGGGGGGTAGGGTATATGAGGCAGGCGGGATTTTTATTAGCTTAAAATTATATTTACTAGAACAGGAATACCTTGCCCTTCTCCCTTAACTACATCTTGAGCACATTTCTTAGAATAGGGAAAAAATTTAAAAATTGAATAAACATTTATATCACCATTAAAAAGTCAAACAAAAATTATGCTCAAAAATATTAAATAGGAGAAATAGATAGTGATTAGAAAAAAATGCAATATAAAACAGGTGTACTTACAACTCTATAAAAGTATTCCCGGTGCATATTATTCATTGAACATTCCAATTGTGATATAGGATTATTAACACAATTGATCTAAATGTGGGTAAATAATTTATATAATATTGAGTGTTATTGATGTTATAATCAATACCAATTAAAATCTTGCAATAAATTATATATTAAATTATTTTATCAACTTACCAAAGCATAAAATTGATCACCAGTAACTTCATCAATGCCCCTTTTAATTCTTATATGATATGGTTGAATAAAAGAATCCACTTTTTTGAAAAATTCTTTAAATAGATGAGTAAGTTCATCAGGATCATTAGGCACACTAACTTATTACATATAGGTAAAAATATATATATATTAAAACTTACTATTATATTTTTTGGATATGTTTATGTAAAGTTGAATAAGCTGATTTGAACTCATTAGTGGGGTAGAGAGAAATGCCTGAATACACCTTCGATGGGCATCTGTAATCTTCATTCTATTTAAATTCTAAAATAAAATATGCATTTAATTAATAAAGATATATATGATCTACGAACTATTGACAATAATTTAACAGCTGTCAGAAAGATTTATAAATTTTTCTACTAGCAATTATTGGCATAAAAATAAATAAAAAGAGTTAGAATATTTAAAATATTTTTGTAGTAATATTATTCTACTTTAAATTTTAATGGTCTTTTGTTTATAATTTTATTTTATCCGTTTGTATATTGTTTTGCGGCTATAAATCAAATATTTACATATTCGTTAAATGTAAATTTATTATTTTCTTGCTGAAATAATATTCAAATGTTTTTTATATCCAATAACTTTTACCAAAAGATATATATACTTATAAATTGTGGAAAAGATTATTATTTTATTACCACTTAAATAAATTCCTATAATTCTTGTCTAATTATTTTTGATCCTTAAAATCCCTATAATTTTTTAAAATAATCTGTTAAATTTAACCAAAACAGAGCCATCCAGACATAGACATATACAAAATTTCTAAATAGGGGTAGGAAGAGTGGTAAATCATAATTAGTGGGGGTTTCCTTCATAAATTTTATTTAAGATCTTTAGGTCCGGTCCACTTAGTGTAGAACTTTGGGTTTGTTATATTTTTTAAAACAATTAGTATATAAAATTCAATAAATAACTCACAGATATCAAAGAATTATTTTTATGCTTATTCCTTTTTTATCATTACATACACCCTTTCTGATCTTCAATGATAGCCGTCTCAGTGTTATTACAGTTAAATCAAAGAGTCGATTATAACGTTGCTGTCTACTTCTTTTTTTCCTCGCCTTTTATAGTAGCAGTCATAGATTTGTTGTTATCTTAATAATATGTCGTTCATCTCGTGGTCATACTGCGGTTTGAACTATTGTTTTCATTCCATGTATTGGTTGTTGATTATCAATAAGATTTGGGTTCATTCGATATATAGGTTTGGTTGTTGATTATCAGTAAGTTTTGGGTTCATACGATGTATTAGTTGTTTATCATTTTATTTTAAATCCATTATCTAAATTTACAATTCTTCACAAAAAACATATAAAAATTTTATAAAAAAAATTACAATTTAAAACACAAAAATTTTAATCACAATTTTCACACTAAAATTAATTCTAACTCCAACAAAATAAAAAAAATTTTCATTTCCTTCACCAAAATTATATATTTTATTCTTCTTCAAAAATAAATTTTATCTCTTTATACCAACAACTTATTTTCGGTTGACCACTAAATCGCATTGCTCAAAATAGCATAAATTGAGTACGTTTTAAAACGTCTTCAAAATAACATATTCAAAAAAAAACCATCATATCTGAAGCGAGAATAAATTAAAAATGAGTAAAGAGTGATTTAATTTTTTTAAAAGATATCTAGATGTTAGCCACTGAAGCCAAAAACACACAATCCTATCTTAGAATACAAAATATTAGATTTGAAGTAATATTGTTATATAAATTTATATATTTTTTTTAATTTAAAGAAAACTAATAAAGGAAACCATCTAATAGTGTATTTAGGGTATGAGTACCTGATAAAAAGTGCTAGTAAAAATTTTGTACACCTTAGTTGTCGTGATAATTGTTCTGGTAGGGCTAAGCTATCATTAAAGGACATCATAATTACCATAGAACATACAGGCAGGTGTAAATGTAATAAAATAAATATTTAAGATATTTAAAAATCTTAATTTCAAATAAGATAACACACATCTTACTTTTCCATCTGTACAATCGCCAGATTCTGTCATATTGCCTAATACCTCAAGTAAATAAAATATATTATAAATTCTTAAATTGTTATATTTCAAACTACACAAATCTAGATTCCCCTCTTGACATAGTACAAGCCTTATTAGACTTAAATTCAAATATTTATGGTAAAAATATATATAATAAATTGCATTAATATTATTTTTAATTAACTAGAGGCTCGTTTTGTCAAGAGCCAAAAGGGGAAAATGTTACTCTTCCTTCAGAACTATCTATATAGATTTCACTGTCACGATAGGGATATTATAAAATATCGTTGTAGAGTAGCTGATTGTCATGCTAATGTTTATTTGATGGTGCTTATATTACCTCGGGTATACATGATCATCCTTTTTAAATAGGGACATTCGAGATGCTTTGAGTCATATAGACAGACTCCTTATGGAATATCGGCCCCCTATGCCTCAATCGATTTTGGATATTGAGTTATCAGCAGAATATGCTATGACAACTCGCAATGAACATTTTCTAATCCATGGAACAGGTAACTTATACGTTTTTGGTACTGATTCCATGTTGCGTTTGACCAAGGGTTCTGACATGATCTACATAAATGGAACTTTTCATGTAGCTCCTACCTTATTTTATCAACTTTATACCTTGCATGTTATGTATGAAGGTGTTATGATACCTATCATTTATGCTCTCCTCATGGATAAGACAAAAGAAACATATATCCGGCTTTTTCAAATTATTACTAATTTTTGCGCCGAATGCCAGATAACCTTTAATCCTCGATTTGGCCAAGCAGACTTTGAGGCAACTGCTATATCAGCTCTCAAGTTTGTATTTCCTAGCATGATTATAAAGGGTTAAATTTATGATTTATATTCTAATATAATTTTGTTTAGGATGTTTTTCCCATTATTCCCAAGCGTTATGGCGAAGATGTCAATCTTTAGGGTTGGTAAGCTTGTACCTCTACCACTCCAATGTTCACAAAGTTGTTAAGCGCATGACAACTTTGCCTTTTTGTAAGGAGGAATATATATCTAGGGTAAGGCAAAATTGTTATATTATGGCGTTTGAAAATCCCATGCTCATCGATTTTATGGAGTATATGGATACGACATGGCTAGGCCTTAATGCCATATTTCCTCATGGCATATGGACAAGGTATTTAAAATATAATTAATTAAATATCCATATAATTTAGATATAAAGTCGATGGTCCCCGCACCAATAATCATTTAGAGGGATTTCATCATGCCTTAAAGAGAAAAACGGCACACGCTCACCCAAATGTTTATATTCTTATAAAAACTTTAATAGGTCATCAACATTCTAACGACCTCAAAATTATCCAGATCAATAATGGATCAAGAGTGCGGCGAAGAAATAGAAAATATGAAAGAATCGATGAGCATAAAATTTAACATCCATATATGAAAGAACGTCGCAAATTTCTGAATTTTTAGATAAAATATCTTTTTTAGTAAATTTTAAATATTAAAATTATATTTTAGTTTTATTTTACAATAATAAATTTATAAGTGTTGATTTTTTTATACACAAATAAAATATATTATCAAAAAATATCTGATTTATTAGTGAATTTTTTTTAAAATCACTTTGATATGTTAAAGACAAAAAGTTACCAAGATAACAATGATAAATTTATAAACGAATCACTGTGCAATCTTTTAATAACATTGAACGTTTTTAATTTTCCAAACTTTATATTTAAACATTCCGCTTATTTGATTGTATATAAATTTTCGCTGAAAATACATTTAAAACGACTTTAGAAAAAAAATTAAGAAATGCGGCTTTTATAACCATAGGAGGACGCCATTTTAGTCGTCTTACGAATAGGAATAAAAATATATAATATTTTTCCGGCTACAATTATTTCCCCAATTAGAATAAAGAATAGAACATATTTTTTAAATTTCATCATAATGTTCTCCAATTCGAATACAGAATATAATATAAAAAATTTATACCCAAAATTTTCTTCCACATCTCTATTATTATCGGTCAATCATTTACTATACTTCCATAATTTCAAATATGATTTCCTAAAAATTATTTAGATATCCTGGAATAATTCCTAATATATTCTCGAATAATTTTATATAAGGATTTTATTTCTTTTTAGCGAATACTAGTAAATATAACATACAATTTCTTAGTTACTAAAAATGATTTTTATAGAAATTTAATTTTCTTTTCATAATATTTTTAGCTAAATTGACATTTAATTTCTTACATAGTCAATGAAGAATATCATGGATAATATAATAGATTAGGAAAATGATTTCGAATAATTTGATCCATATTTTTTTTCCGCTATTACTTTAATATTAACTTCAAAGCCTCCTCTCAACAAAACAAATATCGAATAAGATCTTTTATGAAATTCCTTTTTTGAATATTTATTATTTTATTTTACTTTAATAATCTTAATTCCCAATTTTGGAGCATTTTTTTGAATGCTACCTTTATAATATATTAATTTCCAATTTTGTAATATTTAACTTTCTTTATTATACCTTTATAATATGTCAATTCCCAATTTTGGAATATTTATCCTTTTTTATTTTACCTTTATAATATATTAATTTCCAATTTTGGAATATTCATCTTTTATTTTACCTTTATAAATTAACTCCCAAATTTGGAATAATTTGCCTGGCTTTCTCTCAGTCCTTTTGATATAAAGAAGAATATACCACACCTGAAAAGTGATCATTCTGCCGCATTGATAATAAAGTAGTAATTACATTGAGAATTGCATAACGTATTTCTACTTTTAAAACGTTCAGCAACATTTATTACAAAAAAATAATCATCATTTTCTTTATTTAATGTTAAATATATTGGTGTTATAGTTCGAGCTTGTTTAACTCTGGTACATTTAGGGCTCCTAATATATTTTCAAAGTATTTTATTTTATCATTTGATTCAATCCATAAGTTCTTAAATGCCAAAACATTCTTATCATGGGAAAATATTTTCTCAAAATATTTTGCTTAAACCATCTTATTAAAAAGATACAAGATTATTTTCAGAATAAAGGATCTTAGATAAAGATACTAGTATCTAATTAAAAATGTCAAAAAGATAGTGAGTACAAGATAAGTATTCGCGGTACTGCCCAACTCTGGCAATAACCCTTATGGAACATTTGGATATGTATATGTAGGTAAATCATATAATTTATTATACTTGTAATAAATAGAAATTTATATGTATGAATGTGAAATATTTATTACCCATAATTTAATTAATTTATATATTTTTTTTATCTATTAATCCTTCTAAATATA